GGTCCAAATCAGAATTGATGCCAGTAGGTGAAATTTTGGTTCCCCATTCATTTAAGGAATATCAATTCTGTATTTGTACTGAATCCATTAAATACAGAGTTGCTTTCTGGTGTGATGGGAGGCCATACAAATTTGGTTAAATAAATAAATACGTGCATACCAAAAGATATAACTTAATAACATTTACACAAACTAGAGCAGATTTTAAAAAAGCATGATAGTTATATAAGTGTAATATACATACATATATATATACACATACACACACACATACATGCGCGCACACATACACATGAATGATATTTACATTAGATAAGTATATATAGAATTGAAACTGTTTACTGTTACAACAATATATTATAGTTTCTTCTTTCTTTCTTTTTCTGTTGTATTTTTTCACCTTTTTTAAAAGCACTTGTTATGCTTTTTTTCCCCCTTTGACAATGTACACTATGTATTTCTATTATGATTATCTTTGTGGTTTTTTTTTTTCTTTTTCTTTTGTTATTTTAAAAACAATTTAAAAAAAGGTTGCTGATTTAACTGCCAAGTTTCTAGTGCTTAGAACTGGGATACTTTTTATAAGCAGTTCAAAAGTGTAAAGTGACAAGAAACCTCCTTTAGCAATTATGCAGGATGTTCGTCAACACAGCTTCTAATGAGAACATATTTAACAGGCAGCAAATATGAATGAAAATGAAAATTACCCAAATACTCTCAATATAATCATGTTTAAAAATACAAAAAGTTCAACTCTATCTGTGACAGCCAGTTTGGTGTAGTGGTTAAGGCATCAAGCTGGAAACAGAGACACTGTGAGTTCCAGTCCCACCTTAGGCACGAAGCCAGCTGGGTGACCTTGGGCCAGTCACTCTCTGTCAGCCCTAGGAAGGAGGCAATGGCAAAGCACTTCTGAAAAACCTTGCCAGGAAAATTGTAGGGACTTGTCCAGGCAGTAGCCAGGAATCAAAAACTGACTCAAAGATACCAAAAAACAAACAAACAAACAAACAAAAACCCCTGTGATAATATAAACCAGGACATACTAAGAATGATCTGTTTCAAATGCAGTTCTTACGGCTTGTTCTATATAAGATTACATACTTATATGTATGTATAACATACCAAAACAACATACTCAGGAACACGTCTCAGGAGCTGTTTAATGCTCTTTAGTCACCTTGTCAGAGATTTTAAGCAGTATTATTTTTAACTACTGTCCTATCTTTCCATCTTCAAAGGTATTTAAAAATAATAAACATTACAAGCCCTACTTCATAATAATCCTTCTCTATTGCTTCTGTACTCACAATTACAGTATCCCAATTATGATTAAAGTGGATCTCACACCAGGAGGAATTTCCAGAGGGGAAAAATTAAACATCACTGGCTGTTACTAGATGGGGGGGCTATAGAAAATAATGATTTTCACCAGACAAGGTTAAGATTTCATTCTGTGTCCACATGAGACCAGTGGAATTCAAGTTAGTCTTCCCCAACCTGAGCTCATCTAGATGTTTTGCGCTCTTGTAATCCAGTGACAATAGATAATTGGAGAGATGACTGTAATCCTAAACACATGGAGGGCACAAGGATTGGGAAGTCTAAATTACAGAGCACACTGAAATCAGTGGGAAAAGTTAGCTAGGTGCAACTAACTTAGTCTGGATCCAATCTCTAATCTGTATGACTGTGGGAAACCTGTGACATTGGAAAATTAAGATTAAGACTATTCTGTGTGTGTATTTGTCTCACATACTATAAGATGCTTTGGGGTGAGGTTTTTAAGGGGAAATGGGTTCCTTATACTTTGCTGATGTTAATTCACCAATTTCACTTTTTGAAATCCTACCACTGGCCACATTTGGAATGCATACCTTGCCATGTCACACAAATGACAAAAAGCGGGCAATATTGTCACAGCCTAATGTCCAGGAGAAAGGCATTTTGAAACTGGAATTTCATGACAGAGAAGGCCCTCCCTGCATTCCCACTTAACTTACCTCTCTGAAGCACTAGGCAATAGGAGGACCCTCCCTGCAGATCTTAATGTTTGGACAATACATACTGGTAGAGGTGCCTTTCAAATATCAGGGTCTTAACCTTTAAATCTCATTACTAAAACCTTGACATTCAAGAGATAATATATAGGTTACCTGTGATGGCTTCAGAATCAGGCGCCAAGATGCAGATGGATGAGGTCCCACTGGGCTCTGTGCCCACTGATTCAGCAGCCACTGAATCAAACACTGACACCCTTTCAGGGCCCTCCTCACCCAGCACTGATCCTTCTTTAGCCAACATGGGTGCCAAGAAGCAGGGCAAACCTTCTTGCCCTGAGAATCCTGTACCCCATCAAAGTAAACGCCTTGTGAGCAAGCACCAAGACCCTGACTCTGCAAGCAAGCCTGGGGCCTCATTATTGGCAACAGCTGAGCAAGGAAAGCCTCAGCTGTGCACACTTGGCTGGGAGAGGATTTAAACTGTGCAGGGACTGTCTTCTGTTGCTGGAAGTAACTTTGGCATTGGGCTTCATGTGTTATTGCTTTTGACTCCACTATGTTTTTGACCTTGGTGTGTTCCTGACCAAGTCTCTGGCCCTTCCCTCAGTACTTTTTAACACTGTGAGTTCCTGATTATGGACTGTCTGATTCTGATTACATCTTCTCCTTAACCTCTAGTGAGCTGCACACTCTTCCTCCTGCTTCCCAACTCCTCTTCTGTTACCTGCCCACAAATGGCTGCTGCCATCTCTCCCGACAAGCTTCCTGATGCCTTCACAAGCCTTGCTGCGAATGCTCTGCTCTGCTCCAACTCTCTCGTGCCTCCCATTGTTCCCCCCACTGCATTTTGACCAAGCTCCCTCCGGTGTGTGTTCTCCCGCCCAGCACCTCTGCAAGCCTCACCCCCAAGCAATAGCATTGTGCCTGCATTTTGCCTGCCAGTTGCATGGGTGTTTTTTCCCTTTGCTGAAGCCAGGACATGAAACTTCCAGTGTAGTTTGTTTAGGGTTGATTTTATATGGTCTCTTAAAACTGTTTTAGATGGTAGCATGGGGCTGCCCTCTCTGCCATTTGCAGCCTGTGAGATGTTTCCAAGGACAGATCAACATAAAGTGCACTGAGATAATGGAACTAGGGGTGTGAGCTACAGTGAAAATTGAACTCATATATGGGCAGTAGCTTTAGGACCTATTCAGTGTATTTTGTGTAAAAATAAAGAAAATTTCCTTCCTCCAAGGGGGGTGGTAGAAGTCATGTAAAACCTTGTACACAAGAACATGACATAATGTAACATACACAATATTTTTCTGAGAGCTTATACTCTTCTGATGGATTATACTTCTCTTACAACAACGCTGAGCACAAGGATCTAGATTGCTGCTAAAGCGAATCAACTGTATGTATAAGAGCAATGGCCCATGAGTTCAATTTCTAGTGGAGGTCTCAACCCTATAGAATAAGACCTGGCTGCATATGTCTGATGAGTCCCAACACAGGACAAAGCAGGTCATATAGTGCCTCATGGTGGCCTATATAAGCTCATTATCTGGCTATACTGTAAATCATGATGTGGAAGTTTAAAACTATGTTATAAGACAGAATACAAAGTAGTTATTATAATTTTATTTGTTGATTTAGTTATCAAGAACAACATTTTCCACAGCATGAATTTGCTACCTTTGTCAGCTAAATGAGAAGCGAATGTAGAAATCCAAAAAAGTAACTAGAAATATGTAAGAATAACATCTCAACAAATGGCTAAAAAGGAGGAACAAGCTGAGATGTTACGTATAGATACAAATACATAATTGCTCATATTTGAAGGCTGGCAGTGCTGATAACAATGCCTTGCTCATAGACCTCAATAACTGTAATCAAATATTTATTGGGCATGATGAAACTTGCTGGACTAAAAATGTACAGTGATATTTTACTAAGCCTGTATGAATCATGCCTGATTCAATGTAAATTAGACATCAAGATTCAGGAAGGGCATAATCTGAATTTGTAAATCAAAGTTATAGGGCAGCACCATTTGAGTCAAGCTGCTTTAAGATTCAGGATTTGATTCTGAAAAAAAAATCTTTTATAGGTAATAATGGGACTGCATCAATGTTTGTAGCTCTTCCTTCCTTTGAGTAGTCTCAGTGCACAGCATCAATATGCACATTTATCCAGGCACACAAACCACTGCCTTTAAAATAAAATGTAATTTCTTGCCAGCACTTTTGCACTCTAATAACTTTTATGCCTTCCCGTCATTATTAGTGCTAAAGACAGCTTAGGTGCTAAGAGTTTTTCCTTGCTTATCAGAGGAACTGGTTCATAACCCTAAACAACTTTTTAAAAAAATATTATTTTATTTCCTTCAGCTAGCTAAGCTGAGGATTTAAGAAGGAAGTTGTAATTAAAAAAAAAAAACCTTCAGTGTTTTGAACTGGGAACTTTTTACAAATAAGACAAATGGTATAATTTCTCTGCTATTTTTATATTGATAATAAAGATAAGGTCTTAGAAAAACTATTATCTCAGCTTATCCTCTGCGAAGTAGCTAAAGTGAAGTAGCTAAAGTGAAGTAGCTAAAGTGAAGTAGCTAATGAACTACTGGGGTAGCCCGTAAGGAAGTTGAGTGTTGCTGCTGAAACCAACGAGTATTCAGCAAGATCAGACGAAAAGACTACTTTCAAACCACAGCAGAAAAACATACGTGGAAGTCAAATTTGTGATGGGATGAAGGTGTGTTGGAACGTATCTACGAGGAGGAGAGTGATGTGGGAGATCAAGGCTATCAGGAAGGAGGGGGCGCATTCCAGGAGGGGGGAGGAGGCAAGAGGCAGCATAGTCCGCAGGGGGAGAGTGAGAACAGAAAGAGATTCAGGTTAGCCAGTCCCTAGAATCTCATAGCTATATCCACTAGTTGCTGTAGTATAGATTTAGTTTGGCAAGCTTCTGTCTATAAGGTATAAGCAAATAAAGGAACTGTACTGGACTGAACTGTTTCATCGTTGTTTTTGGGCTGGGCCTGACAGAAGGTGAGTAAAGCCTGATTTAAGCCATTTCTTCCCTAAAGAAATAGTTGCTATCTTAGATAAGCTCTAAGACAAATTTGTTTTTAGTCGGGACTCACACTTCCTGCTTTGACCACCATTACTTTCCCCTTTGCTCTGTTTGTCCCATGCAAACATTCCACCAGAAGTACACGCAGCCTCTCAACCCAGAAAAGTTTGCGTCCTTCTGCTTTATTTCATGGCCTCTTTGTGAACTACCCTTGTTCTCGTTTTGGGGGGAAAAAAAAGAGTTACCAAAGATCAGAATAACAGCATGCCACTAATATCCTTAAAAAGCACATCTTCTGGATTCAAAAAACAAAAACGTTGTCTTTGTTGTATACTGATAATGCTGCCATAGGTGTTACGAGGCTGTGGTTGTTTTAGAAAAGACCGAAAATACTCACAGCTTGTGCTCTTAAAATACAATTGTTTTCCCAATTTCATCATGAATGTATCTCTGAACAGAGAATTATTGTATAGAACAAAACACTGCTTGTAATTTCCATAAAGAAGAAGTAAGGAAACCAGAAGAAATACTTAAGAGCAATTTTAGTGGAATCACAGCATGGATGATGAGATAGTATTCAGCTTTATACTTGCTTCTGAATGTAATTTGGAGGACTTTTTTAAAAGTATATCTTCCAGTTATATGTTGTTACAGTGTTGAGAAATTGAAAGCTTCACAATCGCAAATCAATTGGATATTGTGCAGAAAGAAAGAAAACTGCTGAAAATACGATTTTTATGAAGTAGTTATAGGATCAAGAGGTAGATAATACCTTTTTTCCATAAAATCATCCCAAATGACTATTTATTTATTTATTTACTTACTTACTTATTTACTTACAATTTGGGCCATCTTGTGCTCTGCAGAGTTATTTAAGATGAAATTATTTTTTCAAGTTGCCTGACTTAAAAAAAATAAAGATGGATTATGAGTATCACCATTCATCTTCTTTAGGCACCTCAAGATGATGCTTAGTCATTGAGGGAAATGCATTTGCTATTGTAGCACATCACAGGACATTTTTCATAAGCAACTTGTTGATGCAATGCTTCCTTACAGCTCACATGTGACCTTTTTCCTCAATAGAAAGGAACCAGAACCTAATAATGAAGCAAACTGAACCAGAGCTCATTAAACAAAACCCAATGATAACACAATACAGAAAACGGTCAGTATGGTGCCTGAACTATAATTTGGGGTTTGCTCTTTTGACACAGAAGGCAATATTTTTACATATAGTGGCTATAACTTAAAAAAAAAAAAAAAGTCTCTAAAAATTCAACTTTTTTCTGTATTTTTGTCTGTGGGTTTGGGACTATTTATTTATTCAAAATGCTTGTGCAAAGCCTACAGAAAGCTTAATGTGTCCAATTTAGACTTCCTTTTTCTTTAAATAATAATAAAAAAAAGAACCAGGAGATTTACAGAATTATAGATCCTTTCCCCATTCTCAGATATCAGAGATTATATGTGTATTTTTATTTATATATTTATATACATAAAAGCCCTGCTGCAGAGGTTTCCATTACAGCTAAGAATGGTGTTCCAAAGTCAGATCTCCTCTTCTCAGGGCATAATTTGGAGCCATATAATTGCATCCCTAGAAGACATGACTTGATTTTTTAATAAAGGTAAATACTAGAGCCAGGCTGAGAGATTATGCCAGACTAATATTATTGCTTTTTTTTTTTTTTTTACAAAGTGACTACATTAGTTGTCTGAGGGAATGCTGTGGGTGCAGTGTACCTAGATTTCACAAAGGCACTTCATAAAATTGACTATAGTTTCATTCTTCATAAAATGGAACAATGTGGGATGGGTGGTCCCACTACTAGATGGGTTTGCAATGTGTTGAACAATCAAACAATGTGTGGACCTTAATGGATCTATGTCTATATAAAGTAAAGTACGCAGAGGGGTACTCTAGTCTTAGTTCTGGGCCGAGTACTCTTTAACATTTTTAAATGACTTAGAAGAGGAGATAGAAGGGTTGCTCATCAAGGGATGATAGAACACTGGGGTGGACGGCTAACACTTCAGAAGATTGGTTCAAAGTTCCAAAGGGTGCTGATATGCTTAAACTGTGCCCTATCCAAAGAAATGCAGTTCAGTGGTGAGAAATGTAAGCTTCTGCATTGAGGTACAAGAACACACAAATACAAGATAGGCAATAACTGGCTGGCAGCTGCCAAGAGAGCCCATGTAGTCTTGGGCTGCATCAACAGAGTTATATGATCTATGCCTGGTCACAGTGCACCTGGAATACTGGATTGTGTCTAGTTCTGGTTGTCACCATACAAGAAGGATGCTAAGGAAATGGAAAGTGTACAGAGAGACTGACAAAGATGTGAGGGGCTTGAAGGCTAAATCCTTGAAGGATTATTAAAGAACTGGGTATATTTAGTCCAAAGAAGAGAAGACTGAGGATATAGTCTTCCAGACCTGTCACAGAGAAGAGGATGTGGATTTATTCTCCATAGTGCCCATGGGTGGAACAAGAACCAATGGGTGGAAGATCCAAACTGGAAATAAGCAGTAATTTCCCGGCTGTGACAGGTATTAAATAGTGGAACTGGCTCCTTCTTGGAGTTGTGGCTGTTCCATTGCTGGAGGTTTTAAGCAAAGTAGGACAGCTATTTGTCTGGGATGTTATGATCCCTGCTCTGAGCAGGGAACTTGAACTAGAAGACCTGGTTTCTTCCAGCTGTCTGACTCTGTGACTAAATAGACATCATTTGAATTCAACTGATCCTTATCAATGTGTTTTTAAAAAGTTTAATTTGTCTTCCAAAAGTGTCTCTTGGTAAAATATAAGCATAATCTTTTATAAAGGCTAAGCCTGCTTCTATGCCTCAATATACTTATTTTATTTAAAAAGATCTGAAGCAAAGAATTATTTTTTATATAAAAGAAATAAACATAAGCCATCAATCAATAAATAAGTCTGGTTTTGTGTATCTGACAGTTGATTTGTATATCTAAATTAAATGTCATATATTTGTAGTGCTAAGCAAATCATTCTTCTTTTCACTGTTAATAGCGAAGGGACATTTAAAAACTACAGCAACCATTAAATCTAGCAGAAGGTGGCTTTTCGTCCAATCGAGACCCTGACATTACTCGTTAATTTGCATCTGTTCTTTATGAGGAGAATATTTAATCTGCACTCTCATTTTACTTTTTGAAGTTCAGACATGCAATACAACATAAAAGATATGTAGTATTCCATAGACTGGCTGGGTGGCCAGAAAAAAAGTAAATGAACCTGTATTCATTTATAGGAGGGGAAATTTCAGTGTAAAGCAGATATTGATATATTATAAAATTGTGTATAAATTATCTGGATGATAGAATACAGAGTACAGTAACACAGTATTCAGAACTAATGCCTACTAGTAATAACTTCATAGTGAGTAGAGGTTTTCATGTAAGCCTATATTAAAAAGTGTCCAGTAATTTACCCACTGAATCCAGACAATGTTCAGATCAAATATTCTACCACCTATTAAACAATAATGCATTTTCCTGAAATGAATTTCACCATACAGAAAAAGAACAAAGGATTAAACATATTGGCCAGGCAACAAGTCTTTGAACCAAGGACTGTCCTTATAACCAGGAGAACGTTTATTAAAAAAAAAAAAAAAGGAAATAAAGTTTCTGTCAAATTGAGCCAAGATATGTTTCTTTTTTTACCACCTGACTTGACCACAATGGTTTTTATCTTAGCCTTTCCTTAACCAACTTCCTACTTCATAATAATCAGTCTTATTTTACTGCAATGTTCTGTCTCCATTTCCTATAGTTCTTATTTACCCATGTATTATTCTGTTACTATGAGCTTAAACTTTCATTAATTCATAATTATGATATAAATTAGATATTGTGAAATACATCATGATTTTGACAAATCTGACCATGTTCCCCAAAACTTTTATGCTGATGAGCACATTTGGAGTAGTATAGCCACCATGCTGAGAGCAGTACGCTATTCACAAAATACCAGGCAAGGCCAATCCCAAAATATCAGGGTCGTGCAGAAGAATTTGCTCAGCATCTGTCAGATAAAATCACTCAAATTTGTTTGCAGTTGGATGCTGGCCTTGCTACAGGTCCTGTGGAGATACTCGGGGCAGAGTCTTGGAATATTTGAACCTGTTGAGCCTGAGGAAGTAGACAGGGTCTTCATGACTGTGAGCTTGGCTACCTGCTCTTTAGATCCATGCCCCTCCTTGCTAATTAAAGCTGTCCAGGAGTGTTGTATGAGTGGGCTCTAGTGGTGAATTCCTTTTGGATGATGGGGAGATTCTTAAGGAGATTCACCCCCTCCTCAAGAAACCATCACTGGACTATACCCTGAGGGATTTCAGAGGGAGCTATCTAACCTTCCCTTTGGTGATGGAGAAGGTGGTCCCATAACAGCTTCAGAGGACCCTGGATGAAGCAGATTATCTGGATCCCTTTCAGTCAGGATTCAGACCTGATCATGGGGCAGAAACTGGCAGGAGCAGGATGGTGTTTGTTCATCCATCCTAACTCTGCTTGATCTTTCAGTGGCCTTCAATACCATTGACTGTGGTATCCTTCTGGATCAGCTCTAGGGATTAAGAGTGGATGGAATGGTATTGTGCTGGTTCTCCTCCTTTCTCCAGGATCAACACCAGTTGTTGGTGATTGGGGAGAAAAGATCCTGCCCTTGGCCCCTACTGTGTGGAGTTCTGCAGAGTTTTCTGCTCTCTCTTCTCCTTTTCAACATCTACATGAAGGTGCTGGGTGAGCTTATCCATCACCATGGGTTGAGGTATCATCAGTATGCCGATAATATCCAATTATACATCTCTACCCTGGCAAATTAAGAAATGCTGATCATGTCTTATCCCGGTGCCTCCAGGTAGTTGGGGTCTGGATGGGGAACAACAAGCTTCAACTGAACCCTCGCAAGACTGAGTGACTCTGAGTTTTTGGGTCTGCTGATTCTGGGACTATGCCATCTTTGGCACTGGAAAGGGTTGCACTCCTCCAAACAGACCCAGTGCACAACTTGGGGGTCCCCCTGGACTCGTGACTCCTGCTTGAAGAGCAGGTGGCAGTTGTGGCTAGGAGGGCCTTTGCACAGCTTCGTGTTGTGTGCCAGTTGCACCTGTTCCTGGATTGGGAGGCTCTGCTCACAGTCACACATACTCTGGTCACCTTCCAGATGGACTACTATAATGCACTGTGCATGGGGTTGCCCTTGAATAGTATATGGAAGCTTCAGCTGGTGCAGAATGTGGCAGTGCAGGCAGTTATGTGTGCCCCTATAGTGGCACACATTATATCTCTGCTTCGTGAGTTGCACTGGTTATCAGTTTGCTTCTGGGTCCAATTCAAGGTGCTGGTTTTGACCTTTAAAGCCCTTCATGGCATGGTACTGGATTATTTGAGGGACTGCCTCTTCCTGACTATATCTGCCCATCCTAGCAGGTCTGGGAAAAGAGGTATGTTGCAGGTCTCATCTGTGAAGGAGTTACATCTGACGGGATCCAGGAGACGAACCTTTTCTGCTGTGGCACCCGCTCTGTGGAACATTATCCCCCTGAGGTGAGATTGGCCCCATCTCTCCCAACCTTCTGGAAATCCCTTAAAACTTGGTTGTCTCAATGGGCCTGTGGATTGCAAGGGAATGGAAATTTGATGAGATGGCTCCATTGTTTATAATCTGATGCTTTCTCTTAGCCTTTTATAATAATATTACTCAATATTTTATTACAGTCATAGACCAGAATTACAAATGAAAATGCATTAAAAATGAAATAAAACAAAACATATTACATATATTATTCAGCTTGAACCCATGCTACTCAAAATTTCTATCCATGCTTGACTGCCTTTTAAGTTCAACAAAACCCATTAATCAACTATGTCCCAGAGCCAGTTAATGATCTTTCAATATTCTAATAGAAGTAGAAGGTCAAGGACAATGCAAATTGATCCATGTCACCTATGCTGTTAAGTACCTGTGCCAACAGTGCTTCCTATAATCTACACTGAGTTGCAGCCCATCTGGCTACCATAGACTTGGTATTTTTTCAATTAAATAATTGGACATTTGGATTCCCAACAGATTGTCCAATAATTTTTCATATTTGTACAAAATAATATTCAGTATATTGCTTACAACTATGCTAA